TGCTCATTATCTGCGCCAATGGGTATAAGAATGCATGTTACCCTGTCTCTTATACACATCTAGATGTGTATAAGAGACAGCTACTAATCTTAGTACTGTTTGTGTTTCAAAATACACAGAAATATTTGTTTTGGTAATAACGTATTAGGAATTTTAGTGTTCCGTCACTAATTCACAACCTCGGCTCCTAGTTTGTCTACTCTGGAGGGCAATTTACGCTTTAGTAACCGTCACTGCTAAATTAGTGGGCAGTATGAAATCAAAACATGACAAAGGAGCTAGCAACCAATGTCACAATTAACACAAATCAGAAAAAAAAGGAAAAAAAAAAAAAAAAAAGATCGAAATCAAAATATCATGAAAAATAAGATTGAAATGATGCTTTTAGTAGGTTATTATTTGGTTTAATAAGTACCGTAGGGGTCCAAACGTGTCCCCTTAATAGGGGTGTCCCTCCCCTTTATATAAAAAATATATTTAGCTTACTATTGGAGGAATGCATAAGGCATGAATAGAGTGACTCAAAAATATAAGAACACATGCTGTAGGCCTATATTGATGTTCACACTAAATAGAGGCAGAATATATTTGACCATTTGGTACACCAAGAAATTCAGAAAGTGTCCAATTAATAAGGGTATGCCCTTCATAGAAGTCCCCCCCCCCCCACCATCCCCATCTGTTCACTGAAAGTGTCGATCATCTTACTAGGGTGTCCAAAACTAGGGGATCTACTTTATTACATTGGCCGTATATTTTTGTATCTTAGACGCCATTTCTATGGTAACCGTGGTTTGGGTCGTGGAAAACTATGTCAGAGCATTCTGGGTCCTAGGAGTAATCAACAATTTTCAGGCATCTTCTTGACTTATGAAATTCCATTGCGGACGAAAAGTGAGACCACCCCCTCTTAACAATATGTGGGGAGACATGTCCCCTGCTCATTATCTGCGCCCATGGGTATAAGAATGCACATCACTTCAGCCTCAATATGGTTAGTGCTGAGGTGCGAAAATTTTGAGATCTTTTGTGCAAGGAAATTGCACTCTCATACCTTAAAAATGTTACCAATAATTCACATGTCAATAATTATTTTTCGTAATACAATTTAGGGGGTACGATCGCACCGTCTGCACCCCTGCATCCGCCACAGCCACCTTTCTAAAATCAATTAAATAAGCCCTTAAATTTTCTAATTTTTCTGTCAGCTTTGCCCCTGGACCACTTTCGAAAGATTTTGAGTAATGCCCGAGCACGCCCACTTTGCTCTGGTTGGGGACATGGGAACCTCCCTGTCTGGCAATTCCTGGAGCTGCTACTGTTTCACAACCCCTTAGGCACATTTATCTGCAGGTCGTGGGTTCAATTCTACCCGATTTACTTGCAACATTCTTTTCCAAATTATTTTTGGATGTGCAGTGCTGAGTATACTGCAGAAGAGTATGCAAGATCAGCATAAGATAATTTACTAAGTTATACTTCATTTAAAGCCCAACTCGGACAGCGCCGTACGACACATTCCGACGTAATATGTTTTTGGGGACAGTCTTCAGGTCATGATAATAGTAAATGTTTAATATTCTACAATGTGACCGTACTCAACGCGACAACAAATTTAAATGTGTCAAGCTGCAACGTGTGACGCTTTCTGAATTGGGCTTTGAACATTATGAAACTAAAGACGCATTGAAACTTGAAACTCAGTGCTAGAAGAAACAGTTTGTATTGCTTAATTTGTGTATTTTATTAAATATTAGTTAACAATTGAAAATTAAGTAATAATTGTTGAATTTTCCATAATTAGAGTAGTAAAATGTTTGTAAATTTGTAAAACAAATTGTTTATTATTAAGAATTGTTTTCTTCACGATGCCATCACAAATGGTGTATCATATATATTGAATAATTTGAAGTTTAATATAATGTAAGTAATAATTTATCATTTAAATTGCATAATCAATATCGAAAAATGTACATACAACTTTATATACATATAAGAAAGTATAATACATACTCGAAGTATTGAAATGCATGTCATTGTGTTGGGATTTAATATTTTCATATTATGTCATCATCAGGATTTCAATACTTAGAGTATGTATTATACTTTCTTATCTGGGATTAATCTGTGGAACTTTAGGATTTTATAGACCTACATATTATCAAAAGAGAAACTTGACATTAATGTTTTCAGTATATTTTGTATTCAATATCTACAGTCCTGGATGACAGCATCAAAAGCATGCAGTTTAGATGATCAAAAGGCGAGTAAAATATAATTTCTTAAAAAGTGTCCTAATGTGGTACTGTGGTGTATGTAACCATGGTAAAATTATATTCTGGTGTCATTTTTTTTATTGCACTGTTATCTTTAAAATGTTCCTTTACACCTTTGCTTCAATTTTTTCATATTTGTTCTGGTAGTATGACTCAAGTTCTTCCTTTATATCTATTCGTTCAAGTTTGTTCAGTGCTTCACTAATTGTTTTGAGATGATTTACTTCAGCTTCCTGTCTTTCTCGCCACTGTAC